CTACCCCGACAATGACACACTTCCTCTACAAAGACCATACACGCTCCAACAAAGCCACACCTCCTAATAGTGCCAGTCCCTGTGAGATTATGGGGTCAGTTGCATCCAACCACAGATGATAATGTCAGTCCTCACCAAAGGAAGAGGAAAGAGGTGGAAATGTCACCTTTAATTAATTTGTGCTGTTTCCCCTGCAGAAAAAGATTGCGCCTGGTGGAACAAACAGAACAAAGCAGGATGATGCAGGAAGACTGGCCGCTAGAAACCGCCTCGCTGCCATAAAGAACGCGATGAAAGCGAGGCTGAAGCAGGAAGAGCATGCGCCGGTGGCAGCGGAGACACCAAAGGAAGTCGACAAAATAGTGTTTGATGCTGGGTTTTTCAGAATTGAGAGTCCTGTTAAATCGTTTGCAGGTTTGTGTTTTTGCAGAGACTTAAGAGAAATATTTGGACCAAATGAGGGCTTGTGTAGAGGATGAAATGATTTTCCCGTGAACATATGAAGGTGCACCGATTCCTAGAAGACAGACTGTGCTAGCAAGCCACACGCAAACCACACTCTGCGAGGGGTGGGCAGATAGGCTTGTGCATGATCTATCTTTTAAGGTCAGGCTTGTGTTTCCAAGGATTCCATAGCTGCTACTGGCATGTGGTCCCAGTCTGTAAGGTTCCATGACAAGTGAGATTAGAACTAAGATGCAGGAGGAACTGGGCCTGCTCTTTACCCTCCTGAGCTGTGCAGCTGACTGCAGCCTCTGCACAGGAGGGACGGGAGGGAGGGAGCTGAGCAACTGTGGAAACCTGTGCATCATTGCATCTTTTGAGTCTCAGGATCAGACTGAGCTTTGCGCGCATACACTAGGCAAGCGCTTGTCCATTGAGCAATGGCCTCCCTTTTTAAAATTCTCTCTTTTGAGACGAGGTCTGGTTACGTTTCCCAGCTCTCCTTGACCTCATGCAGGTCTGGATCTTGCTCCAGTCCTCCTGCCATAGCCTCTGGGGAGGCTGGGGCGTCAGGGAGCAGCAGCCCCCACTTCATATCACTTCATTCAGATGTTTCTCTGCGTGCTGCTTGCCCGCTCCCTCCCGGCCTACTAGGACTGTATGATTCTGGCACCCGCCACCTAAGTGCCGTGCAGAGGAGATCTGAGTGTCTCCACAGTTTATTTCAGTATCCATTTGTATCCATGGACTAGCCCAGTTTTTGGCTGTATCTGGTAACTACAGCAGGACACAACCCGTGTCTCAACTTTTCCAGGAAATACTTTGCTGTGCAAGAAACATCAAAGGAATTTGCTATAATTATTCTTCAAACTGAGGTTTTGGTGTTTTGTTTGCTTGTTGTGGCTTTTAAAACAGGGTTTCTCTGTATAGCCTTGGCTGTCCTAAAACTCTTCTGCTGTAGATCAGGCTGGCCTCGAATTCACTGAGATCCATCTGCCTCTGCCTCCAAGTGCTGGGATTAAAGACCTGTGCTACTTTGTCTTCCAGGTTGAGATTCTTTTTTTTTGTTTGTTTGGTTGGTTGGTTTTGGTTCGAGACAAGGTTTCTCTGTAGCTTTGGAGCCTGTCCTGGAACTAGCTCTTGTGTAGACCAGGCTGGTCTCAAACTCACAGAGATCCGCCTGCCTCTGCCTCCTGAGTGCTGGGATTAAAGGCGTGCGCCACCACCGCCGGCCAGGTTGAGATTCTTGACCCAAGTGTTCATTTGTTCGACATAGGTAAGAAGTAGCTCACTTGCTGATTTCATTATACCTTCTAAAATATTTTTAGTGTGTGCGTGTGTGTTTAAATTTATTTCTTACGTATACATGCACCAGATATCATTATAGATGGTTGTAAGCCGCTATGTGATTGTTAGGAATTGAACACAGAACCTCTAGAAGATCAGCCAGTGCTCTTAACCTCTGAGCCATCTCTCCAGCCCCTTCTAAAATATTCTCAATATAGTCTCTTATTGTCAGAGACACACCTATTTTTATTTTTTTTAAGTTTTAGGGTTTTGTGTATATGGATGTTTTGCCTGCACGTTTGTCTGCACCATGTGTGTCCCTGATGCCTGGCTTCGTCCTGAAGCCAGACGAAGGCGCCAGATCTCCAGGATCTGGAGTTACAGCTGCTGTGAAGCCCCAGGAGGAGCTGGGAATCAAACCTGATCCCTCCAGAAGAGCAGCCAGTCTTCTTAACTGCTGAGTCATCCCTCCAGCCACAGAGTCAAAAGAACAATGCTGTAACATAGGCATGGGATATCAGAGGGAAGCGTTGTCTGATGTGACAATTCTCTTCTTCAAAGAAAACCCCTGGCACCTGACTAACAAATGTTGACAAGAGGAGGCCTAGTTAGCAGGATTTGCATTGCCTTTCTGAACAAAAAATGAAAGAAAGGATTTTTGCTATGGAGGTTATTTTGTCTCTTTCTAGCACTTTCTTCTGAGCGTCGTTCTCAGAGATTTGGAACAGTCATACCTGCCAGCAGAGTCATGCCTGAGAGCGGGGCTGCAGGGGACCTTCAGAGACAAAGGAGATCGCTGGAGAATCCTGACCCTCAGAGCAGCAAGTGTGAAGGGGTCAATAAGACATTGTTTTCAGACAACCTTGAAAGCAGGTATTTCTTTAATGTACATTACAAGTTTAATGATACTGATATTAACTTATCATTTCACATGGTCAGGCTGGTAAAATGTGACTGACATGTTTCCAATTAAATTTTGCATATGACCTGAAATATATAGGCAAGATTGCTCTTTTCTAACTGAGGAGACAGACTTAAGGTTTCCGGTTGGAAGCAAGTGTGGTGGAGGTGATCCTGGCCACCCAGGAGGCTGAGGTGAGGGGTGATTTCAGAGAGTCCGAGACCAGCCCAGTGACTCTGATGTCTTCAACAAAAGAATGCAGGTTCCAAGACGGTCAGGGCTACACAGAGAAATGCTCTCTTGAAAATTAAAAAAAAAAGGATCCATTTTTATTTGTGTGTGTATGTGTTGTGTGTATACGTGTGCATGCGTGCCCAGAGCCCAGAAGAGGCTTTTAGGTTTCCTAGACCCTGAGTTATAAGCAGCTGTAAGCTGACCAACACAGGAGCCAAACTCCCATCCTCTGTAAGAACAGCAAACTCCATTTCTCTAGAAGAAAATACTTTTAAAGCAAACTTTGAAAAGATTGAAATTAACATTATGTTTAGTCATGTTGAATGTGTAGATTCTTGCATGCATGCTGTGGCATGGTGTGTGGGCCAGAGGACAGCTTCTCGGGGATCAGTTTTCTCCTCCTAACATGTTCCAGGGGTTAACCTCAGGTCATCGGGCTTGGTGGCAGGGAGCCATCCGTCTTGTAGGTCCCCAAAGAGATTATGACAGGTAACTTTTCTTAGGTTTTTTGGTTTGTTTGTTTGTTTTTTAATCAGTGTACAAAAGAATGAGTTTTGTTACGCCATTCTCCTGAGCCCAGGCTCTACCTCTGACCTCATTGTGCAAGCTAGCACCCTCTGAAGGGTGGACTCAAAGCCCACGTCGACGACTGTGATGTGCTTGGCGATCGTTGTCTAACCACTGTGTTTGTTCCAGGTCCAGCAGAGCGGACGAGACTTGGTGTGCTGGAGAGCAAGAGTCAAGTGCCCTGGACCATGTAAGTCCTATTGCAAGGTGGCCGTAGGTAGCCAAGGGTGTTAGCTGTTTATACCAGGGCATTTGGCAGCCTAAGCGAATCATGCAAAGTAGCATCATTCTCATTTGAATGGCCTGTGGGTTGCTGGAAACAGCTCTCTCTTCGTCTGCTTCAGACCACATCAAGATGGCTCAGGAGCCAGTGCACTCGAGCAAGGATAGCAGTCTTTGGCCTCTTTTTAAACGTTTTTTTAAAAATTTCTTTATGAATGAGTGTCTTGCCTACATATGTATATCTACGCATTGTGTGCATGTAGTGCCTGTGGGTTCAGAAATGGGTGTCAGATCTCCTGGATGTGGAATTACTGAAGGTTGTGAGCATGTGGGTCCTGGGAGTCAACCCGGGGACCTCTGGGAGAGCGGCCAGCGCTATTAACCTTTGAGCCATCTCTGGCCCTGGCCTCTATTTTTCGAACCAAACTGGATGACATATCTTTTGTATCTGTGTGTTTTGTCTGCCTTCTTTTACTGAATAGACCTAGCAGGTTTGAGCTGGAACCCTCTTGCCCCAGAGTCCAGGGTAGCACTGTAGTCTGTTGCCCCCAGGCCCAGTTTGCTCTTGTAATTTACTTTCTCTTTCTTCACAAAAAGTTTGCCAGTCTTTGAGCAGATACAGGTGTTTGCTGAGAAGCTTGTCCTCGTTCCTCTTAGATCTTTGTGTTGTGGAACAAGACAGCAGGATTCATAGTGTTCTTTACTTTTTGTGGGTTTGTTGTTGTTGCTGTTGTGTGCAGACTGGGTTCTCTGCATAGCCCAGGCTGGCCTCGAACTCACAGAGATCCATCTGCCCCTACCTCCCAAAGTTCTTGGATTAAAGGAACACGCCACCACTTCCCGGCATTCTTTTTTTCCCCCAAATTTATTTGTTAATTTCATTTTGCGTTCCATCTGCAGTTCTCCCTCCGCCAACCTGACATTCTTTACACCTTTTCATTTTGGGGGTGTTGGTTTGAGACGGGGTTTCTCTGTCGCCCTGGCTGTCCTGGAACTCGCTCTGCCTCTGCCTCCTGAGTGCTGGCACTAAAAGCGTGCGCCACCACCACCTGGCTTCTGTTTTTCTTATATTTCATAGCAGTATGACTTTTTTTAATTTGTCCCATTTATGGGTAATTGGAATCTTTGCCCATTTTAACCTCCAGGTTGTAAATAAGATAAATGTAGAGATGGATTGTTTCCCCGCTGAGGTGATGAATTTGCCTCTTCCTGCCGGTCCAGTGGCCGGTGACGCCAAGCAGAGAGAAGTGCAGTCTGATGTGGAAGGCATGGAGCTACAGTCTACCTCCCAAGATGTGCTGATGAGTGACCCTGAGAAGAGCTCCCCCTCACCAAACGCTTCCCAGGAAGACTCCAGAGTGTCCCAGTCAGGTAAAGTCTCAGGCGCAGTGCAGCCTGGGTGGAACATAAGTTAGAGGAAGGCGCGATTGTCGTGGGATTCTGAGAACAGTTTCTCGTGACGAAGGCTCACTGTAAATGTCACAGAAGCTAGTTTCAGAATACTGGATGGGGGGGCCATCCTAGCCAAAGAGAAGCAGACAGGATTACGCCTAGTTCAGGGCCAGCCTGTCTTACCTATGGTGTTCCAGGCTAGCAAGCGCAATACAGTGAGACGCTGTCTCAAAACAGCAGCACCAAGAGCACCATGCTTCTAACCCGAGACTTGAGAGACAAGTGCTGGTCCGCACTGGAGATGGGGGCGCCTGGCGATAAACGTGTTTGGGAGCCCTCAGTGAGAAAAACTCCTTCGGTTCTCCTTCAGCCTGTATCCCCAAAACTGTCTTCAAAATATTCCGTTTTCCCTCTCTCATGCCTGTTTTCTATCTACTGTGTTGTGATTCTTCTGTAAAAGGGACTGGGCCTCACATTTGTGTCACAGTATATGGGCCTACTCTCCTCTGCTGTTCCCAGTCTGCCCGAGACCTAGTAAAGTACAGTGTTACACTGTGCAGACATCTCCTGTCTTACCTGGACCTCTCTTGTGTGAGATGTGACCTCCCTGTGTATCCCTGGCTGGCCAGGACCTCATGTAGATAGATCCTGAGTGCTGGGTTGGAGGTGTGTGCCTACACTGGCCTCCGTCTGTTCTCAGCAGCATCTTGTGGGTACCTTTATGCTACAAGTTTGGTGCTTTCTTATTAAGGACCTTTATACTTTTTTTGTTTTGTTTTGTTTTTCGAGACAGGGTTTCTCTATGTAGCCCTGGTTGTCTCTGTAGACCAGGCTGGCCTCGAACTCACAGAAACCCACCTGTTTCCGCCTTCTAAGTGTTGGGATTAGAGGTGTGTGCCACCACTGCCTGGCGACCCTTATAAAGTAAGGATTTGACCTAGCAATCTAATTGCGTTAAAACCACGTGACACAGGCAGGCATGGCTTTGTGTTCTCATCTGATGGTGGTTTTCCCTGTCCATCTGTAACTCCCTTAACCGAAAGAATAGTCTTTAAAAATTATTGTTCCTTGTTTTTCAGAACCATTACATAGACAGCTCAATTGTGAACCCCAACTTCTTGATCCAGTAAGTTTTTATCTTAATTTGGGAAGTTTCTGTATATTTTAGATTTATGCAATTGTAAAGTTTTCTTGGCTTTATCTTGTTTCCAGTTGCTGTGGGTGCGAGCGTGCCGCAGCATGCGTATGGAGGGCGGAGGGCAACTTTGGGAAGTGCGCTCTCTCCTTCTGTTGGGGGCTCCAGGGATGGAACTCCAGGTGTCACCCACCTCTCACCCACCCTGGTTTTGTTTGCTTTCAGAATAGGGTCTTGTTCTGAAGACCACGCTAGCCTCTGACTCTCTCTTTCTGGTACTGAGATGACAATTTCTTGTATAAAATGAAAGTTGCTCACTTTTCAACTTGGCTGCAAGGTTTAAATGTGTGTCATGTGATTCCCTATGTACATCATCTGCTGTTCTGAAGTGGGAGTGGGCACAGCTTAAGTGGTTGCTCTCTCTTGTAGCATCTGGGTTCAGGTCCCAGCACCCACATGGCAGCACAAGGCTGCCTGTAACTCCAGTCCCCGAGGGTCCACCTCCCTCTCCGGCCTTTGTGGGCAGAACACCCGTACACATAAAATACACAGCTGCTTACATTTTAATTGAGAGAAGGCTTCCGCATACATTCTAATAGTCTAAAACACTGACATGCATTCTGCTATTCAAATATGATAGGGCAAATTGCCTGAAAGCTTACCTAGTGTCTGGTTTAGATTCTGCCAGATGTTTCTAAGTGATTCAAGCTTTTATAATAAAGTGTGGAAGAAGAGCCAGGTGGTGGTGCCTCACACCTTTAATCCCAGTGCTCAGGAGGCAGAGGCAGGCGGATCTCTGTGTTTGAGGCTAGCCTGGTCTACAGATCGAGTTCCAGGATAGTGGGGACTACATGGACAAACCCTGTCTCAAAACCCATAAGATGCAGCTACTACTTCTAAAAAGCACGGGGGTGGTGGGCGGTGTCTGTCCCATCTCAGCCCTCCGTGGCCAAGTTCTCCTTCAGCCCTGAGACTACTGCAGTTGTACTCGCTGTGTTATTGTGAGTTCAGCTTTTATTCTTGGTAATCTCTTACTTGTAAATTACCAAATGTTAGTTAGCCCCGCTGAAGTCTTCCTCTAAAAGTTCTTTTCTCTCCTGTATTAATTTAACATAGAGCTATGTACTTTATGTGTTTAACATGGGTTTATAGGCATATATGTATATGTGTATGTGTGTATTTAGTCTCTCAATAAGAGTACAATATGGACTTATTATTTCTGAAATCCACCATCTTTTCAGAAATCTGATTTTGTAGTTATAAACTATCCACTTTCTGCCTGACGCTCACTGGTATTGATGGTATTGACATGGTCAGCATAGTTGTCTTTCTGTTGAGTGGACAGTGACCTTTCGCCTATCTCCAGACATTCTCAGTGATCTGGAATAGGACTTTGTCTCCTGTCTTTTATCTCGTGAGTCTACTATAACTGTGGGTAACATTGTTGGCTTACTGACACCAGCTGCTACCGTGAATCAGGAAATGACTTTGGTTTGCTAATCTTGAATATTAGACTAAGAAATTCACCGGGCTGGCAAGATGTGCCAAGCCTAACCACCCAGATTCAATCCTCAGAATTCACACTGGAAGGAGTAAACCATTTCCTGCATGTTGAAATAGGAGCGGCAGGGCTGCGTCCCCGGCACCCGGCCGCCCGCATGGCTAGCTTATACCCAGAAATAATTACACGGAAACTGTATTTTTTCAAACACTGCCTGGCCCGGCTAGGTCCAGTTTCTTATTGGCTAGCTCTTACATATTGTTCTAACCCATTTCTAATATTCTGTGTAGCCCATGAGCTGGCTTACCAGGGAGGATCTTAACCTGCGTCTGACTGGAGTGGGAGCATCATGGCGACTCACTCACTCAGCTTCTTTTTCCCAGCATTCTCCTCTGTCTACTCCGCCTACCTAATTTTCTGTCCTATGAGGGCCGAGGCAGTTTCTTTATTATTAACCAATGAAATCAACAGATAAGATACAAGACCCACCTCCATCACCTGCAAGTTGTTCCGTGACTTCCCTGCCCTTGTACACACACACTCACTAAATAAATGTAAAGGCCAAGCCAGGAATCCACTCCAGCAAATGTAGGGTTAAATAGCAGCTGATACGTGTGTCCTCTAGCCGGGGATTCCCAATGCACCTTTGTCTTGACCTCTGACCTCTTGCAAATCTGCTGTCTCTGTGGTCAGGCCCTGTGCTGCCTGTGTCTCTGGAGCACAGTTGTGTCTGTGTCATTCTTGGTCTCAGCAGCGTAAGGCTACTTCGTGTAGCAGGCCTGGCATTACCCTCTTCTTAGGCCTCAACTGTTTGGTTCTGGGTGTGTAAGTAGATCTGGAAGTTATTCTGCTTTGACATCTATAATATAATTAATTAGAGGTGCTCTGTAGCTCTGTGTCGTCTCATTGAATCTTAGTAGTTATACTTTTCCTATGATTTCTTTTTCCATTTCCATAAATATTAAACATTAGGTACTTAAATCTAGCAGTCTATTTAGGCCCAAATTAGTGCTTGCCAAATAGTATCATTTGAAACTCAAGTAGGGCTTGATTGGGGCAATTATAAAGATCCCAATAAGGCCACACTGTGGTGGAAGACCCATTAATGGCTACATGGTTTAGGGTTTGTGGAACCTGCAGGAGTATCTCTTTGTTTTGTTTTATCAAGACAGGGTTTCTCTGTAGCTTTGGAGCCTGTCCTGGAAACTAACTCTTGTAGACCTGGCTGGCCTCGAACTTAGAGACTCGCCTGCTTCTGCCTCCTAAGTGCTGGGTTTAAAGGCGTGCGCCACCACTGCCCAGTGGTATAGCACTCAGGAGGCAGAGACCAGTGGGTCTGAGTTCGAGACCAGCCTGGTCTACAGAGTGAGTTCCAGGACAGCCAGGGCTGCACAGAGAAACCCTGGGTCAAAAACAGAACAATTTGGTTTTTTAAAGATTGCTTTCCATTAGGTCTTAGGCTTTTATAGTCTCATTGTTGCTTTGGGAAACCTGCTTATTCCTTAGCACTGACTTAACTGGCAGTGTGGAAAGTTTATTTGGGGCAACTCTTGATGGTGAATTCAATGACTTCTCTGTTTTTGTTCTTCAGCCAGCCCTAAGCAACGCCAGTCCCTGCACACAAGTGGAGTCCAGACAGCAAGGTCGTGCCAGACACATCTCCTTTGGGGGTGACCTCATCGTCTTCTCGCCTGTGAGACTGCGCAGTCAAGAGCACCAGGAGGGTTTTTAACTTAGAAATAATTCCAGACATTTTTTTTTCGTATCATTACTTCTCTGACACATTGTTAAATTGTTGGAAATTTTAAAAATATGCTTTAGTATTCGCTTCTCTTTGCCGTATTTATATTGCATTACATAATCTTTTAATGCCCTGTATTCATCAAGACATTTTGGTAATGCTGTACAAACTGTAGGTTTGTAAAATACTAACGTGAAGCAAATCTCTATATCTGTGTCCTCATCTTATCCTGCTCATTTGAGCAGATAACTTGGCTTTCTTTCCTTCATTCCGTTAGCGGAAGTTTTCTGGATTGAGAAGTCCATTTATTCCAGATCAGTCCCTGCTCCCTCTGGAAACTGTCTCCTTAGCAGAGCCAGCACCTTGGGAAGAGAAATGCAAGTCCGAGGCCTGAATGGGCAGCTCAGCTATTCTCTCTGGAGAAAAGGGGGGCAGGGGGCTGGAGAGATGGCTTAGAGTGAAAGGCATGGACTACTCTTGCAGAGGACCTGTGTCTGGTTCCCAGCATTTTAGACAGGCAGGACACAACCACCTGTAACTCCAGCTCCAGGGACCCTGCCGCCCCTCGCCTAAGATTTAACACCTAGTATCAGAAAATAAACAAAAAACCAGGTATCCGTCAGCACGGGAATATTTATTAAATGGATGCCTTACAAGAAGGATAAGGAGGAATAAGTGTAAAGTTTTCCACTCAGAATGAGCACGCAGCCTTTGCGTGACACTTCGGTTATAGGAGCCGCCCCCTCTGGATTAGATCATGGTGGGTACAGCACTGGTAAGGGTTATGTCACCAGAAATCTCCATCTGGTTGATCTCCCGGAGATTTCTCATCCGATGATTGTACTGCAGCAAGTGAGCATCGTTGACTGCAACCTTGAAGTGGTCAGGTTCCACCAGGACTTGTATCTGGAAACCAAACACGCAAACCATCAGGTAAAGTGTGTGCTAATGCGTGTGCTAATGTGTGCAATTTAGGCTTTCCACCATGTGTGTGTTTTTCAGGACATACTGTTTGTGATGTGTAATTTCCATTTATCAATTTCTGTATAAACAGGGAAGGAAGAAATGTGTATATCGATTTTTTAAAATTTATATATATATAAATTATATATATATAAATATAAATATATATATCGATTTTAAACCAGTGTAAGCTGAGTTTAAGAAGTCCGATATTTCATTTTATTACTGGAATGATAACAATCCAGAGACAGTAGTCCCAAAGCGAATCTAGATGGTCAGAGTTAAACCACAATAAAAAGGTCAGCAGGATAGACAGTGGGAACCAGAGGAACACAATTTGCCTACACACAAGTTTAGTTTTAATGGAGCCTAAAATACCTGAAAGTTAAAAACAGCAACATAGGAAGGAGTTCCTTAATGGCAAATATTAATTTATAGGACTGGTTAGTGTGGAGCCGGTGTGGGAAAGGTCGGGAAATACACACCCATATCCATCTTAAACGCTTTAGTGTAGAAGAGTGTAGCTTTGGAGCTGTCCAGTGAGAACATGCCTCTCCTGGCCACATCCCTAGCCAGCTAAGCTTAGCCGCTAGGGTGGGAGGAAGGCTGACCCAGGCCAGACATGGCTTTCCAGTGTTCCCCTTCATAAGAGAGCGCTGTCTGCACGGCAGCAGGAACTTACTTTGAACGGTTTGCCGCTCTCAAATGGGAAAGCTGACTGTCTCTCTTCCTTTCCCCAGTTGTTAGCCTGCTTGGTGTTGCACACAATGACTCTCCTGTTGTTTTCATTGAAGCGGGGGTTAAAGTGGAAGGCAATGTCGTTCCCTCTCTTGAAATTTAGAGTAATCCTGTTTTAAACCAGAAATCAAAGATATTAACATATTACCAAGTCAAGAGCATCTAAGTTTCCAAAAGCAGACATTTTTTATATAGGAAGCAAATAAGCCAGAGCAGGAGTTCCAGCTCAGAAGAGTAGCCCCACCCTCCCACTATAGTGATCAGCTCAAACATCTAGCAGGGAAGCATGTGTTGTCTGTTCACTGAGACCAGGTCTCACTGTAGCCCAGGCTGGCTTCCAGCTTGTGATTCTCTCCTACCTTGACCTCCAGGTGTGCCACCAGTTGTCTGGTTTTGAATTTGTTTGTTTTTGGAGGGGTGTTGACTGACGCTGGTGCCACCGTTCCTGACAGACACTTTTGTGCACATGTGCAAACCCTTCCTAGATATTGCATAGCCTTAGACCGCCCAACCTAAGACCATTTATACCTTGCTATAGATAAAAATGGCCTGGTAGATTGACTAGCTGTTAAAAAGCAAGTCAGCAGCCTGAGAACTGCCCAGTGCCTGCCTTTCCCATTAGCCAGAGGTTCAGAACAGCAGGGGTGCATACATGGAGCTAACGTTTCCTCCCTTTGCTCTGCTTGTAGAGTCAGGATGTTCCACGCTATGAGATGGGTGTTGTGGAACTGCCTTTATGCTGTGTGAGGATGTGCCACTGTTACGTGTTTAATAGAAAGCTGAACAGCCAGTCGCTGGGCAAGCGGTACAGAGAGGACTTCTGGATAGAGAGAGCGCAGGGGAGAAGGAAACTGGAGTCTCCAGCCTGATGAGAGGAAGCAGGATGAGCAGTGCAGAGTAAAGGTAACAGAGCCACATGGCAGCACACAGATGAACTGAAGTGGGTTAAGTTGTAAGAGCAGGGGCACAAGCCTAAGCTATAAGCTGAGCTGTTTTAATTAGTAAGAAGTCTCTGTGTCTCCTTTCTTGTGAGCTGGCAGCCCAAAGAAAATTCTGACTACAGATGGCATTGGCCAAAGTGCCACTTGAACTTTCTGACCCATTTCTTTCTTCTGGGTGTTACGCATTCACAAGTCTTGTTAAGGGACTGACCCTATTCCTGGGTTTCTAAAGCTGTGTTCCATCTAGTAATACTAGTAGCTAATAGGCTTGTGGTCTAGACCTAACAGTGATTGTCTGGGTATTTTAAATAACTCAGGAAGCCAGGCAAAGTGACAGCAGTGCTCGGTGTTAGTGTCCTTGTGTGAACAGAGATTGTCATCTGTCACGTACACGCTTTTCCATGAAGTTGCTGGACTGTTTGTGGGACAGGACCCAGAGTCAGTTTTGGCCTCTGAGTGCCCAGTCTACCTCCCTGGCACCACTGGCACTGGATTATCTAGTGCGAGGACCTTCATGTAGCAGTGTTTCTGTGTGGTTCTGCATCATGTTGAACAGACTCTGTAGAGCTATATTTTGAAAATAATGTATCATTTATACATATACGAGACAAGCTTCAGGATGTGATGGGGTACTGAGCTCAGAGCTCTGCCTGGCTGTGTGGAAAGAAGGGTGACTGAGGATAGTGCTTCTCCTGCAGAACCAGAGGAGCAAATGTCAGCCTAGCAAAGCCCTGTTTGTCCCCATTCCTTTATCAGGCACAAACTGATACAGAGGACTTTATAGTTACATTTTGGTTTTTTGAGACAAAGTCAAGCTCTATATTAGCTCATGCTGTCCTTGAATTTAGGATCTTCTGCTTCCATCGCCTACAGACTGGGATTGTGGGTGTGCACCACCATATCCAGTCCCCCACCTAGAAAGCTCTTGAATACAAGGCCTGGCGGTGGTCGTGCACACCTTTAATCCCAACACTCAGGAGGCAGAGGCTGGCAGGTCTCTGTGAATTCAAGGCCAGCCTGGTCTATAGAGCTAGTTCAAGACAACTAGGGCTGTTACACAGAGGAAACCCGCCCCCCCCCCCCCCTCTCCATATATACCTGTGCATCTGGCTGGAATATCTCCCTTTTATCCATAAGACTTAGAGACAGAGTCACCAGTGGTCACAGCAGAGTTGATGGCCCCCATGACCTCAGGGACAGTTGAAATGGATTGCTCTGGACACTCAGCTGCTTCATAGTAAACGTAAGTATGACTAGAAGTGATTGCTGGGTCCAGTCTTCCTTGGGTGGCTATAAATTAGTGTGGGTCTCCTAAATTACCTCATCCCAAGCTGGTTTGCCTCAGTCAAACCTGTACCCGAGGCAAAGGTGGTTTTGTTTTGATGAAATCTTTAATGGATAGAATCTTCTCCAACCCTTAAATAATGCCTCCTTAGAAGAGTGGGCTTCCCTGCTTGCCAGTCACTGTCTGTAAGACCTGAGCCTCAGTTTTGCCTGGCAAAAGGGAAAGCAATGGTCCTTACCCTGCTTTTACCCATGGAGATGGAAAGATGTGCCACACGGTTGAGGATCCTACCATTCACTCTGAAAACCCTGCCATGGAAGAATCACCTGGGAATGCGTACTGATTATGGGATAATCCTTGAGATAGCCCTGCCAGGATTCTAATGTGTAGTTAGTAAGAGTGTCTTTATTCCCCACCAATCACCAGACTTGTTGGCTTGTTGGCGTACTTGTTTGCGTGGGGCTTCACTGTACCCGTGATGGTGATCAGCATGCGAGGCATGACTCCGCCAGGGAAGGGCAGCTCGTAGGGCACTGTCTGGGGACAGACAAGACCGAGTGTCAGTAAAGCACTGGGTTTTCTTGGGGAAAGGGAAGGTTACAACGCAGGTGACTAACACAGATTCCCTAGTTGAGGCCCCCCGTCTAGATTCTGAGACCCCCTCCCCCAGGGCCTAAAATGACAAAGTTCCCTCTGTGTGTGCAAATGTTAACACACAAGGAGAAGAGGTTTCTGGCCATCACTGGAGCTGCTTCAGACCGTAACACATCCTTTTTCTGACAGTTTAAGGTAGACTTGGCCAACAGTCTTTCTTCCCTCTCCAGTCCCTTGTCACATGACATACAGCGCTGTGATTCTGCTTTCTGAGAAAAGGTTTGTGTCACCTGGGGCTTCTGTGCTTACAGGTCA